GAGATAGGTGAAATGAAGTACCCATGACCGCCTAAGTAGTAACAGAGTTAGAATTGGATCACAAGTCATCTTCTGGCTCCAAATTCAGTTCTCTTCTCTGCCTGCCTCCAGCCACTTCTCCTCTTTCTACTTATGTACTCTCTCTCTCTCTCCCTCTCTCTTATAGATATAGGAGTGACAATAGCAAAGGGATTATAGGTCACAGACAAGCCACACAGAGCTGTACCATTATGTTTCATACTATTTATCTCAAATTTAGGTAGAGCCGGGGCCGCGAGGTGGCGCAGTGGATAGAGCATCGGCCCTGAAGTCAGGAGGACCTGAGTTCAAATCCGGCCTCAGACCAAACACTTGACACTTACAAGCTGTGTGACCCTGGGCAAGTCACTTAACCCCAATTGGTTTTAAAAAAAAATTCAGGTAGAGCCAAAAAAGAGTATAAAATTCATGAGATGAGTTTAAATTGGAGAGCAGCAGGAAAGATAAACATAGCACCAGGCCCAACCAGTGAAATGAAGTCATGTCATGTGAATCCTATGGCCCAGTCAGCACAGGTCACCATAAAATGAAGGGCAGACAGTTGGACATATATGCTTGAACACCTTTGGGCAAACTGTATATTAAATACTAAGAATGAATTTTAATCTAGTTCATATTTGCTGGATTATGAAGGAAGGAAAGAACACTTAAAAGGGAAAGAAATTAAGAACAGTTCACACTTAAATAGTGCTTCAAGTTCTGCAATAATATTCCTCAAAACAACCCTATCAGGTAGAGGTACAATATTTCTCATCTTTACTTTAGAGAGGAGGAAAATGAGCTTCTGGGACATTAAGTGACTTTCCCAAGATCACACAGACAGCAAACACTAGATTCACGACTCAAACCCAGCCCTCTGAGTCTAACAATCCACGGTTCATTCTGTTTCACAACAGCATGATTTGGTGTCAAGGTACCTCTGTGAAGTCATATCAGTATCAGCCTTCCCTGCATCCATATCTTGCAAGTTTCTTCACATTAGCAATGATACAAAATTCAGTAGAGGTCAGTTTAAATTAGAAGGGGCCAAAAACAACAATGTCATTAAGAAACGTAAGATATCTTTGGACGTCTGGTAAAGAAAATTGTTGATATATTTGGGGAAGAGTGTCAAGGGGCCAGAAGTTTTCATTTCTTTCTTTATTTCCTGGTTTTATCTTAAGCATAACTGCGTAGCAATGTCTCCAGCTTGGAAATACATGCATTACTTCTCTCTCTTTTTTTTTAAGAGTTAGGGGGAAAAAATCACACCCTAATCTGAACTGAATAAGCTTTTGAGAATGGGCACCTCTCTGGCAAGAGCCAGCATTCTTCTGAAGCACTGTGCTTATTGGAATGGGTTCAACAGGGATCAAAGAAAACCACTTACTTCCCAACAGAGTTAAAGGAAAGGATTAGTTCTGATGAGTTCTTTGGTGGCTCCTATTCATTGTCAACCTTCATTGATCATCTCGTCTACCCCTAGGGACTCATAGCAAGATTAAAGAACCAAGGAAAACTGTACACTGCTTAGCTGCTCCCCCATTTGTGAAACACTGTGGAACTTCAAAGACAAAACCCTCCCTAAGTTTCAATCACACTCATGAAATTTCAGTCTATAACAGATGACACTTACTTGGAAATAAGGCTGTGGAAGAAGCAAGCTGTTTCCAAAAATCCCCCTGATGCATTTGATAAATTATAGAGCCAAAGATTTCTCAAAGAGTGCAAAGGGCTCTAGAACAGGTTGGGGAACTAAACAATAAAATAGGAAGAAGCTAGAAGCAACAGTGACAAACCCGAAAGGAAGGAGGACAGATGGCGACTGTAGCATAGAGGAAAGAGGGAGACTAGAAGAGTTAGGAAGTACTACCTGTGAGATTTAGGGAAACTGGGTAGAGAATGAAAGGACACTTGTAAATTTAAGTGAGCTATTAAAGCTATCCCTGGCAGAAAAACACTCTGGAGCAATTTCTTTGATTGAGATCGCTGCTTCCCTGGTCTTTCATTACCTACCCCACTATTCCTTCCACCACTTAGTAAATATAATATTATTATTTTTCTTTATGCCATACTCATCTCTTTTCATCTCAGAAAAGTATGATGGAATGGAAAAGTGGACTTAGTATCAAAAGAGTTCAAGCTCTATCACCTTTTAGCTGTGGCCAGTAACAACCTGTACAAGAAAGTTAATCAATCTGAGTCTTGCTTTCCTCATCTCTGAAATGGAAATAGTATCATCTGCACTACTTACCTCACAGGGTTGCTGTGAGGGTCAAATGAGATAATGTGTGTAAAGCTTTTGGTAACCATAAAACACTGTCAACGTAAGCTCCTGTTCTCACCTCCTCTGGATACATGCACATATAATTTTACCTACAATCTGACTGAGCTATTACTGTAACACATAGTTCTCAAGAAAATAAAATTAATTTAAGAAGAACAATCCATATAGCCTGGGAGAATAAGGGCACTCTCATCTCCCCAAACGACCCAACCTGAACATTCCCATTCCAATCAAATTTTCTCAAAATCTCCTCATCTTGAAGATGATTCTGGCAAACTACAAACTCCATTAATATATCACCAACTCCTTTAACTTCCCTAGGAATATAATCTACACTTAGGAAAAGATGTCATTTATCTATCTTGTCTTCTTTAAAAGGTGAGCTCCTAGAAGAACAGGGATCTTCTGGGTTGGATTTTCTATATCATACCTAACACATACTAGGTGCTCAATATAGTACCTCTACTTACTGCTAATAGGATTAGAAGACTAAGAAAATCTAGAATCCTAACAAAAAGATGTCTGCCTATTGTTTTCTAACAGTGGTGAGTGACAAGTACTTGAGGGTCAATGGTAGAAATATTCAGCTGTGTTATTTATGCCAGACTCTATTAAAGAACCAGTTCTATGTCTGACTTGATCCTCTCCTCCTGGCTGCTTGTCTGTATTAGCAGAGGCTGTAAAAAGACAACTCGGTGTAGTAAAAAGAGTGCTAGACATTGGTCAGAAGACTTAGGTTCAAATCTCAGTTCTAACACTTATGATCTGGAATTGTTGTTGTTGTTCAGTTGTGTCCATTCGGGGTTTTCTTGGCAGAGATACTGGAGTGGTTTGTCATTTCCTTCTCAGCTCATTTGACAAATGAGGAAACTGAGGCAAACAAGGTTAAATGACTCACCCAGGGTCATACAGCTAGTAAGTGTCTGAGGCCAGATTTGAACTCAGGGAGATGAGTCTTCCTGACCCCAGAGCCAGTGCTCTATCTACTTTGCCACCCAGCTGCCCCTATATAATGCCATAGCAAAAAAAATCACTTAACTGCTCCAAGTTTTACTTTCTTCATCTAAAACAGAGAGATAACAATATCATTTATACTTCCCACCAAACAAATTAGATGGGAGAGCACTTTGTAAACCTTAAAGCACTATCTATAATAAATATACATACTTGCATGTATACATATATAATATATATATACAGAATGTGTATACAAATGGTTTTTGTTATTATAGTGTCTAATAATTTTTTTTTTTGGCGAGGGAATTGGGGTTAAGTGACTTGCCCAGGGTCACACAGCTAGTGAGTAATGTGTCTGGGGCTGAATGTGAATTCAGGTCCTCCTGATTCCAGGGCTGGTGTTCTATCTACTGTGCCACCTAGCTGCCCCCTCTACTATTATTTTAAAAGCCTGAGAATTAAAAATTCTCTGAATTTGGTAGGTAGGAAAAAAAAAACTATACTGCTTTGTGTTTATCAAATAAAAAGTGGGAGACATCAATTGTTAAGCATGATAAGGCCATTCAATAGTGCATTAATGTGAATAAGAGAGGTTGTTAGGAGAAGCATTGTTAGATTAAGTTCTCAGTGCCTCTTGGGTGCTGGTTTTAAATGAACTACTGAGAAAATTTCCTCTAGTTTGAGGACATATGATAATAGAACTAGAAGGGACTTTGCATGTCATCTAGTTCTATTTCTACCATTGACCTTGTCACTCAGAAGATCCCTGTTCTTCTAAGAGCTCACCTTTTAAAGAAGACAAGACAGATAAATGACATCTTTTCCTAATTGTAGATTATATTCCTAGGGAAGTTAAAAGAGTTGGTGATATATTAATGGAGTTTGCAGTTTGCCAGAAACTGAGGCCCGGACAATTTATGTATTAAGTAGCAGAGGCAAAAGCCAAAAACCAGGCCCTCTAACTCCAAATCCACTATCCACTATACCATATACCTTATATTCAGGGGGCCAGACACAGAATATCCTCCCTCCCATATACCTGCAGCCAAACTAAAGAAGCAAAGTCTACAGGTAGGAGAAACAGAACTCATGTTTGTGTATCTTCCTGTAAGGCAGAACTGCATACATCCTAAATGACACCAGTCTGTACTGAATTGATGAAGTTTTTGTAGCTTTTTACTGAATAATTTTTTAAACTAGCTTGAATTCATCATCTCTGTTACAATAATTTTTTAAAAACATAATTGACTATTACTGGTATAAGACCCTCTAATTTAAGAATGAAATAGAATTTGTTTTTAGGAAGTTTGAAGGACTATCAGAGACTGTTCAAAGTCTTTGTTGTAACAATCCACGGAATCCTACTAATCTTGTCCTGCACAGGCCCTTAAAAATCAAAATTCAGAATCTTCAAACCCCAAATTCTAAAGTCTCCTTTTTCATTAAAAGCTATGCCTTCAAACAGAATTTCTACAAACAGCCTGGGTAAAAATTCATTAACGGATGAATATAGAAAAATGGAAGATCTGTCTATCAGATCTACAGATCTTTAGAAAAACTGGAAGAGTAAGAAATAAGCAGCGTGAAACATACGAAAGATAAGCAGAAGTGAAATCTATAAGATATCACGGAGGGAAGTAACATAAGCAAGGGAAACTGAGGAATGGGGGGGTTAGGGCAGTTCTTAAAGGTCCAAAGAAATCTGCTAAGTGTCGTAAAATGCCTGTTTCTCCATTACCATAATGGGGACGCCAATGTCAGGCCACAGAAGGTCTTCTGAAGGAAGCTTTGGGGAGTTCCATACCACCACCACCTTATTCAGGTAAGGGAGACCATTCAGTCTCTCTAAGGAGTTCATGAGCACCTCCTCTCGTTCATAAGTCAACATCACCACCGTGAACTGCTCTCTTGGAACATTGCCTCCAAGTGCTGCCTGGAACTCCTTGCCAGAACCACCAGCTCCTCCACCAATGGGCCTGAATCCAGTGCCAGAGCCAAGAAATTTGGCCTCTGAAGGCAGAACAGGGTCAAAAGGTGTGTGTGGGAAAAGGTGGAAAGGCCCTGGGGCTGAGTTCCAGTTGCGATAAAGATCAGTGGCAGTCAAGGTAAAGTTGCGGAGGTATTTAGGAGAGGCATAGGGTGGTTCTGTTTCCACTGGCCCCAGGTCCAGATCCCCATTATCTGCCATGTTGGGGTCAGTACCTGCCGCTTTGCCTGAGCGATGGGGAATCTCAACTGCTGCCTCTTCCCGGATGGGAGCAGCTGGGATCTGGATACGAGTCCTAACCACAGCCAGAACTGTGTTGAAGATACTGTCAGCTGTAGAGAAGTAGGTTTCCCAAAGGAAGCGACCTTGGCGCCTCATGGCCAGCAGATCGCTGTCTGAGAGGCTCCGCAGCAGGAAGTGGACCTCAGTGACCCGTGGCTTGGGCACCACCAGAGCAGCCTCATTCCACCGTAGCACATCCTGGTAGGGAAGCTGCACCTGCTCCCCCAGCACCACTGGAATCGCTCCAACTTCGAGTGCCTCAAAGAGCCTCGTGGCACATCCAGCAGAGATCACCAAGTGGGGATCCCCTGGTGTGATAATCAGGGCAAAGGTGGAAAGCTTCAGTAGTTCTAAGCGGTCCTCCCTCTCCCCACATAGTGCCCACTCGGTGGGCAGGCTAGGTTTAGGCTGGTTCTTGCAAGTAAACTCCACCAGCACCTGGTCAAGCTTGCTGTCCTGGACTGCTTTCAGGGTGGCAATGATTCGGTCATCATAGTCGGCGGGAGGGTCACCTTCCATCTCCTCTTCAAAGGAACGGGCCTCCTGGAGGCTGGACCGCAGTGACTCAATTTTCTCCCCTTGGAAGCTGAAGAGATACTTCCGCTTGACTGGCACCTGTGGAGGGATCTCCAGGAAGTTGGGCTCCGACATGGCATGGACTAGTGGCGATATGACTATATCAAAGCCGGGCCGGTACTGAGCAGCATAAAAGGTGGACTGGGCCACCATCGCTCGACCCGTACTGACGTTATACAGTAAATTCTGCGTATTCGACTTCCACGACAGGTTGATGAGCAGGTGGTTGTGTCCATCTGTCCGCCAGTGGGGCAGAGAGTACAACTGTTGTTCCAGCTCAGCAGGCCGTAGACCCAACGGCTCCTGCATTTCTCCCACCAGAATCACATAAAGGCAGGCAATGTCAGCATTCTCGGTGACGTAGACGTTGGTTCGTGTTGTGGCCTGAAAAGCCTGCTTGACCAGGGGGTCCAGATAGCTGCCAAAGGCCAACTGGTCACTATCATAGACATAGACTGGGAAGCCAGAAGTGAGTGGGCAGCGAGAGTAGTCAAAGCAATTGTGCAGCCTGCAACTACGGAGAAGTTTAGGGGGAGGCAGGCCAACGTCATCTTTTTCTGGTAACAGTCGGATAGGCAGGGACAGTTTGGGCTGATTTTGGGCCATCAGCTCTTTGTAGGAATGTTCAGTCTGGCTGATGACATTCTTGAGCTGCAGCAGGTCCTGTTTGGCATTCTCGATACTCTTTTTACAGGCTTCGATCTTCAGGTTGAGCTTGGCAATTTCACTGTTCAGCTCCTGCCGTTTGGCTTCAAGCTGCAGGAGTTCTTCGCTGACTGACTCACGGATGCGGCAAAGGTCTAACACATGCTTCACCTCGCACAACTCATTGCCAGCTCGTGGCCCAAAGATGCGTTTGCCTGCCTCGTCCGCCTCGTCCAAGGTGGTAAGGTAGTAGTGGGCAATGAGGGGGAAGAAAACCAAAATGATGAAGAGTGTAAAGCTGAGCCAGGTAAGCCGGATGCGATTGGACCATCGCAGCATCCAGGTTTGGCCTCCATTCCCCACTCCCCCATTCCGCAACATGGTATAGCCTGTCATAAGTCTCTGCGTGACACTTGCCCCCTCTGATCACGTTGGGTCAGTATCCATAACCACATAAGTTTCCACTAAATAATTCAACCTCTTCCTCACTCCTTTCCCTAAGGGTTAGTGCATTGTCTCTACAAGGCACCAAATAAAATGGAAATTTCATTTTCCTCAGCTGTAATGGAAATGGTCTCTGACTCTCCTCCTGCAGGCTTTAAGCTGTGGCTGTCGATCAAGGAACATGCCCTCAATCTCTGTCAAACCAGCAGAGATGTCACGTTGCTGCTGTGGGGAAAGCACGGTGTCCGCCGATGACACCCAGGGAAAGCACCCTGGAATCAGGCAGCCTTGCTCAGCTGTCATAGCTCCTGCCTCTTGATGCTGCTGACTGAAGAATATGCATAGTTAGCATCCACAGTTGGATGGACCATGAACAAAGCCCTGCTTCCGTCTTGTCACTGCTGCTGCTAGGAGGTGCTCAGGCCTGAAAGGGAGAAGAAGAATCATGGTCAGCCTTGCAGAAATTACATTAAAATAACATTTTCTAGGCATGTCTTGCACATTTCCATAAGCAATATAATGCAAAATCTGAGCACAACTTAGAAGTACCACAAGTCCAATGTTTTGTGTTGTTGTGGTTTAAATTTACAATAGGGAACTACAATAATGAGAGCTCCTTCTCCCTCCAAAAAACAAACAAAAAACTCCTCAATTCCACTATGCTTTCCTTTTGTCAAAAACAACAAAAACTCCACCTTTATTCTTAATTGATTCTAGAGTATTAATACAGAACTACAAGAAAGATTAATTATTTTCTTTTAAAATGCAAAGAAGCTTCACACACTCTGTTACCCTAGACCTGGGTTTTGTTTCTTGACAAACATAATGTCCTTTCTCTATCACCAACGTGTCTTCATATCTTCCCTTACTCAAAGGACAGTGAGAAAAGCACAGCATTTGGGAGAAAAGGACATGGGCTCAATTCCAACTCTGTTACTTATTACCATATGAGCTTAGACAAAATCCCTCCACTTCTCTGGGCCACAGTTTGCCCAACTGCAAAAAGAAGGGGTTGGAATATACCATCTCTAATGTCCTTTTCAGTCACAAGTGGAATGATCCTGAAAACAATGTCCTGGAAAGATGATTTAGGATCACGATAACTATTTTTCAAGTTTGGAGTTTATCAGACCTATTCACATAGAAGCAGGTATACAACCCTAACAGAGGGAGGCTTGGATGGGTCTTAGCAAAGATAGGCTAGGAAGCCTATCCTGCCCCTTGGCATCTTAATTCAGAGGCTCAACTACAAGAGCATAGGAAATGGCATCAGAACTAACCCAATCTCCTCTGGGAATCCTGACTGAGAATAATCCAGGGCCAAATTAGACCTTCTGGGGGTACAAATTGAGTAAGGCTATAACCAAACTGGCCTTTGGGGTAATAGCTTGCTTTCCCTAATTAAATTTCCTCTGCCGACCCTTCCCATTTCAGATCCTTCATTTATCTCTCAGCATTTGAGAAGTCCATCTAAACTCATACTTGTTTGATATACTGACTTGTAAACTGTTTCAAGTGACTTGTATTACTCTTAATATTAATATTAATATTAATATTAATGATGATGATGATGATAAAGATGAGGAAGCTAAGGTGGAGAAGTTACTTTAATTTTTCCAAAGTCACACACCTAGTAAATGGTAAAGCCGAAACTCAAAATCCCATGAGTTTTGACCACATGTCCAATGTCACTTACGTGGCTGAAATACAAAGTCTCTAGGGAAAAGGACCATACTTTCCATTTCTTTTGTATTCTTCAAAAATAACTAAATGCAATAAACACTTACTGGCTTCCTGGATAGTTCCTCTATGTTAGCCCACATCATGTAGTGTCTGTGAAAATACAAACAGTCACACCTAGCAGGCAGAATAGCAGACAAACTCATAGCCACCTTCAGATTCTGCCTTTGTTGGCAGAAGAACTTAAGAACTGAAAGAGACTTTACCTTAGATGTCATCAAGTTCAATTCCTCCCCTTTTATAAATAAGGAAAACAAAGATAATGGTTTGTTTAATTTCACATAAGACACAGCCAAGGGGCTCAGTGGGGAGAGCACTGGGACTGGAGTCAGTCTCAGACACCTACTAGCTGTGTGACCCTGAGCAAGTCACTTAACCTCTGTTTGCCTTAATCACCTGGAGAAGGAAATGGCAAACCACTCCAGTATCTTTGCCAAGAAAACCTCACACACAGTATTGGTGTACTATGATCCACAGAGTCATGAAGAGCTGGACCCGACTGAATGATTGAAGAGCAACAATTTCACATAACTCATATGAAGCATACCCGGGACAAGAATCTGGAAAAATTCGTCATCTAACTGCCAAACCAGTGTCTTTCCAGTAGACCATACTACTTCAGCGAATCACCAAAAGAACTTGGACATCTCATATTCTTTCTCAGTTTTCTTTTCTGTGCCTCTGTTTTCACCACTGCCAAATAGAGTTAATGCACCTGAAGAATGTACCTGTTGTAATGAAGATAAAATAAGGCAACAAAATGTGAAAGCAATTTCAAGTTGAAAAATGTCACCTAAAGTGCACTGTCACGAAGCCAAATGCAGCTCTGATTTCCTATCACCTCAAATCCAATATGAGCCAAACTTCGCACATCTTGTCTCTCTCAACTTTATTTATTCATTCAAATACTTACTGATAATCTATCACATGCTAGTAACTGTGTAGGTTAAAAACATGCTTAAGGTATACCCCTTGACCTGAAAGAACAGAGAATCTAGTAGGGATGATAAAATATGTATATAAATCACTATCATAATAAGATAAGAGGCAAAAGGGAGTCACTGTTTCAACATAGCTTCTCCTTCACCCCTATTATCCAAGTCACTCAACCAACTTTACTGATCTTCCTTCAGTCTTTCTTGCATCTATCCCTTTTACTCTCAATTGACATTACGCTTAGCACAAAGGCAACGTGTTCACCCGTAGTTGTCCACCTCTTTTTAATCACACCATTCCCATCCACAGCAAGCCCTGTGGCTGGTTTCTCTAAACCTTGTTTTTGCTTAAGCTCATTCATCCTGGATGACAGTTTTCTATTCAAAAATTTTCAATGGCTGAGTCTATAGTTATCCCTTCCACACCACAACTTGCCCTGTCAGGATTTTGTAATGTCGCAGGTTGGCATAAGAAATTAAATGGGAATCTGGGGGGAGTTTTGTGGGAGCCACAGACAACACACAAAGGCCAAAGATGACACGGAAAAAGTTTAGAAATTCAGAAATGTATAAAATACATGTATAATATGGTATAATACCAACCCAAATTTTACAATAAGGTACTGTAAATACTCCATAAAAGAAAAAGAAAAAATTCAGACTTCTTTTCTGGTATGAAGGGAGGGTCAAAAAATTTTACATGGAATTCCTAGATAGTGAGGATGCCATACCCCTAATCCTCACAATGAGAAGAGATAACTGTATTTCCTGTAAGACTGAGCATAAACTTTTCTGCATCATCTACCATATTATGACCCGCTTATTGATCTAACTTTATCTTCCATATTCTCTTAAAACATTTTCGTCCCCCTAACTTTCCCAATTCTAGTCAATAAATGGGTGTGAGGAGCTGGCATGATCTAGGAGAGGCCGTGAATCTGAACCAAAAAAGGTTCTGTCCTAAAGAATAAGGAATCAAAACTATTTCTACTACTGCACAAGCTTTAACAATTTCTAATGCAAAACAATATGTGTGTGTATATATACATATATATATAAAACTACAACAATGTAAATATAAAGAGTCACAAAAACAGAAAAAGAATGTTGCAAAAATTACAAAAAACAAGCATAACTCTAAAAATTAGATATGAACAGATATCCTGATCCCACTCCTTTACAGAAATTAGAAGTCCACAGCTGTAGAACACTGCAAATATTTTCAGATGTTTTCAATGTATTGATCAGATTTTGCTGATTTTTTTCCTTCTTCTTCCTCTCTTTTCCCCCCTTTAAAAAGTATTTGTTATGTCAGATAGCTCTGTGGAAGGGGTGAGGGGGAAGGATACTAGGAGAAATTCTGAAGACAGAAAAAAACAAGCTGTGAAGAAAATTTAAGAAAAAAATTCTGTTGTTTGTTCAAAAGAGGGTCAATCAGGAAGGCAAGATAACTGAAGAATATGCTAGAGACAATGGAATGGAAAGGGATCACTCATGCATGTAGAGGGTTTGACCTTGATAAGGAAATCCCTGAAGTTACAATGAGAAGCAAGGGCTATTCCAACTCCCCAACTACAAAGACTGAGTCAATGGGCAGAGCCAAGATGGCGGAGTAAAGGACTCACCTGAGTTCTCCCCAATTTCCCTCCAAACAACTTAAAGTAACACCTCAAAATGAACGTTGGAATGGCAGAACCAACAAAAGGCTGAAATGAAATTGTTTTCCACTGCAAGACAACTTAGAAGGTTGGCAGGAAAGACCTGTCTCACTGGGGTGAGAGTAGGGTGCAGGCTAGTGGAGGCCGTACTCCAGCAAGCCAATAGCAGGCCTTGGGGGCAAATGAATCAGCAACAGTGGCTCCCGCAGATTTCAGCCCACAGACAGTAAGGGGGTCAGATAACTGTCCACAAGGAGAGTACAAGGGACCTTTTGGCTGGCACTGTTTGCAGGATTCTGTTACATCACCCAGGCAAGGAGGATACTAGTATTCTAGAGCATGTGACCACAAGGGAGCAGGAACCCTGGTCACAGTTCCAGGGTAGAGAAGGATGCTTGTGGTCACTCACAGACCAGAGCACAAGACAGGAGAGCAGTGACCACACCTCTCCTTAGATCATATCACCCTGGAAGGACTAAAAACTTAAAGACCCCCAGAACTAGCTCTGAAAACAGCCACATGAAAAACCTGAAGCTTGGGACAGTGCCCCCTCCCACTGGGAGTAGAGCCCAACTTTAACATGAAGTTAGAAGTCAAGAAATAGGCTGGAAAAAAATGAACAAACAACAACAACAACAAAATTTGTCCATATAAAGTTACTATGGTGACGGGAAGGATCAAAACAAACTCAGAAGAAAACAACAAAGTCAAAATAGCTACATACAAAGCCTCAAAGAAAAATGGGAATTGGACTCAGATCACCCCCCCACCCCAAATTTCCTGAAAGAGCTCAAAAAGGATTTTAAAAAGTAAATAAGAGAGATAGAGGGAAAACTAGGAAATGAAATGACAGCAATGCAAGAAAATCATGGGGGAAAGAGTCAACAGCTTGGTAAAGGAGGCACAAAAAAAAATACTGAAGAAAACAACCTTAAAAAATAGAACAGGCCAAATGGCTAAAAAAAAAAAAGGCATAAAAATGCACTGAAGAAAAGAACTCCTTAAAAAAGAGAATTGACCAAAAGGGAAAAAAAAAAGAAGTACAAAAGCTCACTGAAGAAAATAACTCCTTAGGGAAAAAAAAATGGACAAGTGGAACTAATGACTTCATGACACATCAAGAAACAATTTTTAAAAAACCAAAAGGGTAAAAAAAATAGAAAAACATATGAAATATCTCAAAGGAACAATAACTGACCTGGAAAATAGATCCAGAAGAGATAATGTAAGAATTACTGGACTACCTGAACACCATGATCAAAAAGAGAGCCTAGACATCATCTTTCAAGAATTATCAAGGAAAACTGCCCTGATATCCTAGAACTAAAGGGTCAAATAGAAATGGAAAGAATCACAATAACCTCTTTGAAAGATATCCCCAAATGAAAACTCCCAGGAATATTACAGCCAAATTCTAGAGCTCCTAGATCAAGGAGAAAATATTATAAGTAGCCAGAAAGAAATAATTCAAATATTGTATAGCCACAGCCAGGATAACATAAGATTAAGCAGCTTCTACCTTAAAGCATTAGAGGGGTTGAAATATGATATTCCAAAGGGCAAAGGAGCTAGGATCACAACCAAGAATAACCTACCCAGAAAAACTATGTTTAACCCCTCAGGGGGAAAAATGGTCATTTAATGAAATAGAGGATGTTCAAGCATGTCTGATAAAAAGATCAAAGCGGTGGGCAGCTAGACAGCGCAGTGGATAGAGCACCAGCCCTGGAGTCAGGAGGACCTGAGTTCAAGTCCATTCTCAGACATTTACTTTACCCTTATTAGCTGTGTAACCCTGAGTAAGTCATTTAACCTCATTGCCTAGCCCCCCCCCAAAAAAAAGAAAGAAAAAAAGAAGGAAAAGATCAAAGCTGAATACAAAATGTGACTTTCAAATACAAGACTCAAGAGAAGCATAAAAAAGGAAACAGGAAAGAGAAATCACAAGGGAGTCAATAAGGTTAAACTGTTTACATCCCTAAGTGGGAAGATGAAACTTGTAACTCCTAAGTACTGTATCATTACCTGGACAGTTAGAAGTATACACAGAGGACATGACTGTAAGTTGACTCTGATGGGATCATATCTAGAAAAATAAAATTTAAGGGATGAGAAAGAGGGATGCACTGGGAAAAGGGAGAAGGGAGGGGTAGAATGGGATAAAATCCCACATAAAAGAGGTGTGAAAGAGCTTTTATAGTAGAGGAGAAGATAGGGGATGGGGGGGGGCAGGATAGCAGGCAAGGCTTGAACCTTATTCTCACTGGAATTGGCTCTAAGACAGAATAACATACACAGTCAGTTGAATTTAGAAAGCTACTTACCCTACAGGGAAGTAGGAGGGGAAGGGAATATGAGAAATGGGGGGAAGGGGGGCAGGGGGGAGAGTGCTAATAAAAGGAAGGGAAGATTGAGGGAGGCAATAGTCAGAAGCAAAACACTTTTGAGGAGGGACAGGATAAAAGGAGAGAGAGAAAAGGATAAGCAGAGGAAAAATAGAAAGGAAAGAAACAAATCAGTAATCATAAATGTGAAAAAAATTTTACAGCAAGTTTCTCTGATAAAGGTCTTATTCTCAAATATATAGAAAACTGAGTCAAATTTATAAGAATACAAGTCATTCCTCAGTTGATACATTGTCAAAGGATAAGAACAGGTAGTTTTCAGCTGAAGAAATCAACACTATCTATAGTCACATGAAAAAATATTCTAAATCACTATTGATTAGAGAAGTGCAGATTAAAACAACTCTAAAGTACCACCTCACACCTATCAGATTGCCTGAGATGACAGAAAAGGAAAATGACAAATGCTGGTGGGGATGAGGGAAAATTGGGACACTAAAGCACTGTGGGTGGAGTTATGAATCTATTCAACCATTACAGAGAACAATTTGGAACTATGCCCAAAGGGCTATAAAACCAGGCATATTCTTTGACCCAGCAATATCACTACCAAGTCTGTATCCCAAAGAGATTTAAAAAAAAAAAAGGAAAAGGACTATATGTACAAAAATATTTATAGCAGCTCTTTTTCTGGTTGTAAAGAACTGGAAATTGAGAGGATGCCCATCAATTGGGGAATGGCTAAACATGTTGTGGTATATACTTGTGATGGAATACTACTGTGTTATAAGAAATGAAGAGCAGGATGCTTTCAGAAAAACCTGTTAAGACTTATATGACCTCATGCAAAGTGAGGTGAGCAGAACCAGAACACTGCACAAAGTAACAGCAATATTGTACAATGATCAACTGTGAATGACTTAGTTATTCTCATCCAAGAAAATTCCAAAGGACTTATGACAAAAAATGCTATCCATTTCCAGAGAAAGAACTGATGGGAGTCTGAATGCAGCCTGAAGCATACTTTTTTTAAACTTTATTTTTCTTGGTCTGTGTTTTCTTTCACCACGTGACTAATATGGAAATATGTTTTGCATGACTGCACATATATAACCCATATCAAGTGCTTGCCTTCTCAATGAGGGAGGAGAAGAGGGAAGAAGGGAAAGAATTTGGAACTCCCAGGACCCTCAAAAATCCTGGCCTCCCAGATGATCAATTTCAGCTCCTATAACCTATATCATGAATGCACCTCAGCCTCCCATTAGAATGGTCACACCTTAGATCTCAGCATCACCTATAACTGTGCCACTTTGCTGCGGATAATCTACTTGTGAATTATTATCAGTGAAGATGACTTGGTGCTACTAGAATCATTGTACTGCCTTCTCATTCATGTGTTTAAATTTTCCCCTTTGTTTCTGAACAAGTATTAATCTTTATATTTCCCATAGGTCATAAAGGGAAGACAGAAGACATGATAACAATGCAAGACCATGATGAAACAATGAAACTAGCTCATTTCTACTTTACCATCAACTTCTGGATCTTCTCCTCAGACTTAGGCAGAATCACACTTGGCACCACAATCTCTTGGAGCACTAAGCTCTAGAACATAGTCACCTGGTTGAAAGAAACGAGAGAAGTGGACACTGTTAGAAAAACGTATGGCCAATATCTGGACATGCCTATAGTCCAATAACACTGAGTGCTGGAAAGTGCACTGAGTTTGGGGCCTGGATCCCCACACTTACTAATGGTAGCCCTCTTCAGAGCCACACTTTTCTCATTTGTAAAATGGAGATAATGGTGTTCTTTCAAACTCAGTTTGTACTACCTTGCTCACAGTCATTGCTTTGCAATCCAGAAAGTGCTTATAAATGTAAACTATTATTTGAGAAGAATCCCACTGCTATATATTATAAAAAGGCTTCCATTATGTACATTGCAAGCATAATGAAGAATTTATTACAATGCAGAGTCACAGAAACACAGTCCAAAACTAACACAAGAGTCACCCGGTAACAGTGATTCTCTTTAGCTTCAGTTATTGCTGCCAGTTTGTAGTTGGGCAGACTTGGACTGAGAGAAAAAAGACAAGAGTTCTGCTGGGTAACCATTCTTCAGCATTGTTTTGCAGAAGTTTCCCTAAACCTTCCTGCTCAGGAGGTGCCTTCTTCTGGATTAAGGTAAGATTAACAACCACCACCACCGCCATCATCATCACCTCTATCAGCACTAGCACTGCCATTACCATAGTATTTGTATAGCACCTTCAGCTTAAGTTTGTGCTTTAAAAATATTATCTCCTTTGATCCTCATTAACAAACCTGGGGCGGACAGGCAGCTAGGTGGTGCAGTGGATAGAATGCCATGCCTGGAGTTAGGAAGATTCGTTTTCCTGAGTTCAAATCGGGGTTCACATTTAGTAGCTGCGTGAACATGGGCTAATCACTTAACCCTGTTTGCTTCAGTTCCCTCATCTAGAAAATGAGTTGGAGAAGGAAATGACAACCCCCTCCAGCATCTTTGCCAAGAAAACCCCAAACAGGGTCAAAAGGAGTTGAATGTGACTGGAACAACTGAACAACACTAACAAAAAGCCCAGAACTGAACATAACTCTCCAGATGTGGTCTGACGAGGATAGTGTAGAGTGGGACCATCACCTCAGCCATGCTAGATGCTATACTACTTACTTGATGCAGCCCAAGATTATATTCATTTCTTTGGCTGCTGCCTCACCATATTACTGGCTCATAGTGACATTGCAGCCCACTAAAAAGCTTAGACCGTTTTCAAAACAGCTGCTGTCCATCCACACTTCCTCCATTCTAAACTTGTGGAGTTAACTTTTCTCTCTCAGATATAAGACTTTACATTAAATCTACTGAATTCATCTTTTTGGATTCAGCCTAATGTCCTAGCCTATCAACGTGTTTTTGCATCCTGACTTTATGATCAGTCCAGTGTGTTAGCTATTCCTCCTAGTATGGGTCAGCCTCAAATGTTATTCACCAAACGTGGTGAATGAAGGTTTGCTTGTTTCTTTAGAAAAATGAAGATTTCAAGTCTTCAATGGTAAATATGCCTAACAAAGACAATAGATGAGAAACACAAAATAATGGGATGAGAAGATAAGTTTATAGAAAGGCTTAATCTTAAGGCTATGCAAAAGTGCATCACATTATCAATCAATCAATCAACAAGTGCTTATTATGTATTTATTGTGGTACTGTGCTAGGCACCAGGGATACTAAGTTTAAAAAAAAATCCCTACTTACAAGGAGTTTACATTCTAATGTGGGAGAAACCAAGTATATATAAAATTTACACAATAGACACATACATATACATATAATATATATATATAGTATATATATGCCAATATAATATCCTATATATGTGCTATATATATTTTATATATATAACACATAAATATATACAAAGTAGTTAAAACAAGGTGGTTTTGGAGAGAAAACATTACCATTTGGAGGAATAAGGAAAGGTTTCATGCATAAAATGGTATCTGAGCTGCACTTTAAAGAATGAGAGGGAGTCTATGAGGCAGAAGTAAGGAGAGAGCACATTCCAGGCATGTGCAAAGGCATGTTAACAGGAAAAGGGTTGCTGCATATGAGGAAAAGAGAGAAAGCCACTCTGGCTGGATCACAGGACATGGGAAGGGCTATCAGGTACTTAATTTAAGCTTTGGTCCAAAAGGATCCCAAGTTTTACTATCTATGGTACGTGGGACCTCATGCTGCAGAGAAGGGATGCTGCCTTCAATATCCAGAAGTTTGGCAGGACTCCCATCTTCAATGACCTGACCCCAGGTTGCTGATGTCAGCAAGTGGGTGGGGCTCCCAGGGGAGCCAGAGGCAGTGGGCCTGAGGTCTGAGTAAGTCTGAAGGTGGTACTTTGCGTAGTTAAAGTCATGTTTCATGTGCATGTCCTCAGGGGGGTTGAGGCTTCCAGGCTCTGAGGCTGGGGGGACAGGAAGTGGTGTTCTAGGTTCCATTTAAGAGGAGGATGGGGCTGCAAGCTGTTTTGAAGGTATCCGGGGTCCTCTCAGCAGCCAAAGTTCATGACCATCAATCCAGCTACACCATTACTAGGACACAAAGGTCCATTATATATAGAATTAGGTACTGCCCCTCTTTCTGTGGTGGCAAAAACAAAACAAAAAACCTTGAAATTAAAGGGAAGGCCATCAGTTGAGGAATGGCTGAATGTACTATGGTATATGAATATGACAGAACACTATAATGCTGTGAGAAAAGAGGAAACACGTGGTTTCAAAGATTTATATGAACTGATACTGATACAGAGTGAAGACTAATCTATAACATCAATATTACCAAAACAATCAATTCTGAAAACTTATAAGCTGAAGAATGAAATAAGCAGATCCAGAAGAACAATTTACATAGTCACAACAACGTAAAGACAAACCACTTTGAAAGTTATAAGAACTATAATCAATAGAATAACCATCCATGATTCCAGAGGACTGATGATGAAACATATTGTCTGTCTCCTGACAGAGAGGTGATAGATGTCAGGTACAAAATAAGAATACACACATACACACACTTTCATATTGCCAACGAGGCAATTTATTTTGTTTGATTGTTCATATTTGCTACTAGGAATTGGTTTTTCATTTCTCTTTTTTCTCAATAGGGTGGGAAGTAGGGAAAGAAAATAGGGTTTTTTTTCATTAAAAAAAATTAAAAATAAAGAAGTGCTACAGATATGGAATGCCGTATGTACTTGCAGATGAGATTAGCATATTGTTTTACTTAATCACTTTGCTTTATTATACAAGACCTCTCATGGAGTGGAGGTAATCTATACAAGTATGTATGAAAAAAGGAAAGGTATATGTACAGTCAGTAGGAAAGGAATCGAAAGATGAGAGGTTAGAGGTAAGAGGCGTGAGGTTGCAATATACTGGACACGATAGGGAGAGATGACAGCAAGGGGACACAGAGAGGGATTGCCCTAGGCAAAGAGTAGGGCCACCTCATTCTCAGAGACTGGGGGGAGGTTATGACAAGAGGTTTTGAGATGAAGAGAAAGGAAAAAGAGGAAGTTCACATGAGGTAGCCTCAATTTTCTCGGGAAAGTAAGAGGCAAAAACCCACCACCCACGGCTGAGGAGGAACAAGGGAAACGTATGAGAGGCTTGAAAAGAAAAGGTTTAAAATAGCTTCTGGTGGAGTGAGACAGGGAATCAATTAGGAAGGAACAAAAAGACTGTGGGACCACAGGAAGGGCCCAGTAGTCGTTGGATAATAAGAATTTCTAATGTACCTATTTAACATAACGTGAGACATCCTACAGCAGCTCAGGTGAGCAGGAATGGAGGAGGGCGATGGTGGGAGTAATTCTGAGAGGTCTGACAAGAGAAGAGTGGCATACATACCTCAGTGCCTAGAAACCCTCCTCCTCTGGACCTGAAGGAAGCTGGATTAATCAGATACTAACTGCGGAAATGGGGACAAGATGAGATAATTAACAGAAGTTTCTGGATCTCCCAGTACCCAGAATTTCCACCCCCAAAGTGTATGTTAGTGGTTAATGTTAACTGAGGGCCTAAGTGTGAAAAAAATGTGCTTGAGAATGGTGGCTAAATGCTAACTAGATCTCTGCACAGCCATAACCTGGGCAGGGCAACCAGAATCAGATTTATAGTGGGAAAACAGTACCTACAGGGCTCAAGAAAAACAGAAACAAAGGAACAAAGCATCTAATTAGTCACATTATTTAAAACAGGAAGCAACCAAATGAAATGCAGGGATGAGCTCCCCTCCAGACTGGACCTAAGCCATGATCAGCATCTCCTCCTGGATCTCCTCCCTCTCAAGTAGGGGTTAATTCCAATGCTATTTTCCTCAGGTACAAAAAATTCCTTGCTATGGCTTTGAGTCTCTGCAAGGCTAAGCAAAATTTAGTTGCGGTGGCAGTGTCTGCCAGGCCGTAAATGCACATCCAACGGGGAATAAAGCTGAACCAAATGTTTGTGTCATAAAGTGGTCAAGTGACTGTGTCTCCAGGAGCCACAACTGTGGAAGGAACAGAAAAGCTCACATTTAGTGTTTTGTTTTGTTTTTTTAAATCCAGGTTGAGGTTAGACCACAAATACCTTTCACCTAAGATTATAGTAAGGAATCATTTTTCTAATGAAGGTCAATAAACCTAGGTAATAAATCAATCAATGGCCACATATCAAGGGTTTTTAACCGGAGGCCTGTGAACTTGTTTATTTTTTCTTGAACGTGATAACTATATTTCAATATGATTGGTTTTCTCCGTAATTCTATGTACTTCATATATTTAAAAACATTCTGAGAAGAGATCCACTGATGGGTTTAATTAGATGGGTAAGGTCAGGGAGGGAATAATCACAAGGAAAACAAACTTCAGTTTCAGAGGACAAACTGTAAAAGGAGGATGAAAAGGAAAGAAACTATAACAATCAATCATCAGGATCTGAGAAAGGGGAAGAAAGAAGAGGGAATGGAATAGAAGCAAATCACTAGTGATGATCATATTCTTTCTTTTTTACCTCCTCTTCTGTTTGCCTCAGTTTCTTTATCTGTAAAATGGGGACAATAAT